CGAGAACGTAAAAAGGAGCCCCCCCAGCCAAAGCTCGCTCTGCCCCCCCGAAAGCCCCCATCTGCCCCCCGTATTTACACCGCAACGCGCAGCCCCTGCGCACCCAGCCGGCACGGGCAGCGCGCAACCACAGAGCAGCCAGCGCAAACCGGGCGGAACACAGACACGCCGCACACCCCATGGCAATGAGGAGAAGCCAAGCATGGGCCAGATGCAGTCCTCGCAGGGGTGGAACCAGCTTCCCTCCTCCTAAAGCACTGTTCTCTTTCACGGGGGAGAAGACTATTTTGAACAAGTGACAGTGTAACTTTATATAAAAGGAAAACTTACATAGTGCAAACTCTGGTTAAAACACGTCACCACCTAAAGGGCACTTATGGGTGACCCAACAGAACCAAGGAGGAGTTCTTCAGGGGCGGGAGGGGTCAGAAACAGGCCTCAGCTCCAGCTGCGGACACGCAACACCCAGCAATGTGCTGGGCAGACGCTGACCGGGCCGCGGCCCCCAGACCGCAGCGTCGTCCCCCAAACCCCAGCAAGCGCTGAGCGTCTCTCGCAAACCCCCTTGCAGGCTCCAGGCAGCGCATCCCAGCGAAACGCCCGTCCCTGAAGGTCACCGCAAGGCGAACCAACTGCGCAAAGCACGAACACCAGCGGGGCTTTGCAACGTTCCGCCTTTTCAGCGGCGAGCCTAGTGAATTCTCCTGTCGAGAAGCCCCAACAGGGAAGGAATTTGGCAAGCTCTACCAACAGGACGTGTTACAGAACGCATCAGGTTACTTTCTACCTAATATTTCAGTTCAGTGGCATTTTCAAAGGGCTTTGACAAAACAAGTTAATGCAAATCATTCTAAACGTGCCGTTCTAAACTGTGTTTTACATCGTTTCCTAGAAGCGGACAGTCCTTCAACATTTGGTGAATATTTCCAGCATCAGAGCTTTCCCCCCATCCTGGTGCTCTTTTGTTTGTTGCATGGAAGGGGGGGAAAAAGCCAAAAAAAAAAAAAAAAAAAGCCAAAAAAAGCAAGCTGCTGTATTTCCAGATATGCAGCACTGTCAAAGATGAATAATCCGTGAAGTCCCCCAAAATAAACTGTGAGAACAGATCAGCAACAGAAGGAGGGCTTTAAGGCAACAAGAGGCAGCAGTGCTGCGCTGCTCCCATGTCCGCATCCCAGCGTGTCCCACTGCAAAGAAATTCTCCCCCCTGCCCCCCCCAGTTTCCTCCTCATCTGTTAACTGTCAGACTCCTCCTCCTTTTCCTCATCGTCGTCATCGTCCTTTGTGTTGGCCTCAGATTTATCTGAAGATTCGTGGAGAAGAACGTACTCCCTGCTACTGAACCCAAACTTCAGCACGTCCTTCTCCTTGAGTTCGTAGTAACGCTGAGGTTCAATCCGCTGGTTATTCAGAAAAGTGCCGTTCCCGGAGCCCAGGTCGATGATGTAGGGCCTCACCCTGCGCCCAACGGTACCGTCGGCACGCGTGTACTCCACCAGCCTGGCACAACGAGAAACACCGTTTCAACACAACAGCGAGGGACAGAGAGCGCGCTCCGACAGCGCACGGGTTGTCCACCACGTGAGCCCCGGTGCAGGCAGTGCTTATCTGTACCTGCAGAGATCCGAACCAGCCTGACGAGAGCAAAGAGAAACTGCGAGACTGAGCGGGTCCGGACAGACTGCCGCACCTTGTCGAGCTTCTGATGACAGAACGCAGCAGCTCCGACGACCGGAGAGCCGGCTGCTCCCTGCGAGAGCTCCTCTGTCTCCACAGCAGGCAGCCCCCGCGGCTTCAGAGGGGAGCAGCGGTCCTCGTTGTGACGGCCCAAATGAACAAAACCTCTCCTTGAAATATTTTTACTGCCAGTCACACCTGCTGCTTTAGCCCAGTTCAGAGACACGCAGAGTTGTGTCTTCAACCCCGCTGCTATTTGTCGAACTAAATAAAAGGCTGCTTGGGGTTACATGAGAGGAACTGCAGATATTTTTGATTACTGCTGGAATGACACACAGCAGCCAAACGTAAATTCCATCTCTAACGTACTTACAGCAAACTCAAACCCCTCAACTATGCAAATCCAGGGGGGGTTTGTTTGTTTTTTTTCCCTTCAGAAGTTCCCGAACAACCCTGTTTCACCGCCGGGCAGAGCAATACTCACCGGTACTGAAACACCGCGTGCTGCTTGGAGCAGGAGGGGTGGTCGATCGGGATATCTGCGATTCTGCGGTGCCTGCCCAGAAGGTAAGCGCTCTGCCGGTGGATGTACATGACTGGGAGGAACTCGTCGTTCTTGAAAGGGTAGAGGCGCCACCGCTTCTTCGGAATCCGGGCTTCGGGGGGCTCGCTGTACTTAATCACAACGCCGCGGAAAGTGTTGGTGTCCTCCAGAAGCGCGCCAGACAGTTCAAAGCTTGGCTTCTCCTTGTTTACAGCAGCTTTTTCTTTAGGTTTGTTATCAGATTGCCCATGTTCTGGATTCTGGTCAACACCACCGCCTTCGTTATTTTGTCGATGCTCTCGCCTTCTCTCGTTATAAAACTCCCTTTCTGCCTGCTGCTCACGGATGTGCTGAACATCCCGCTCTCGCTCGTGGCCTCGGACTCCGGGCCGCTCGCTCGCATTCTTCCTTCTGTCTGCGTGGTCTCTGTGCCTGTCTCTGTCCCCGCTTCTGTCCCTCCTGTGCTCCTGCTCCGACGGGTGTCTCTGCTTTCGCTCCTCATTCCCTCGGCGACCATGATCGTCTCGCTCCTGTAACGAAGCGGCGCTTGTAGAGACGCGCTTGGGATCACAGCGAGCGAGCAGTGAACGCACCCCAGCCCCTCACAGCACCGCACC